CACATAAGGGGAGCCCTTTTAGCAGTCTGAAACACCCCAAGTGCCTGATTGTGAAGGGATGACAGCTTACACCGAACACTTAAATTGCTTATCCAGTGTTTAAATGACTTCGGAGACAAGGCAGGAAGTGTTCCATGGGTTGTAGAGCAGGACGCTGTCTTGCCTCAGATTCTAGATTTTGTGGCAGGCCCAATTCTCTGGTTCTTTGCAGCCCTGGCCCTGGCCACATCCCAGCATCCACTTCTCTCTGTCAGTAATACAGAACCCAGAGGAGGGTTGGCTGGCAGAACAAGCCCCGCCATTGCCAAGCCATTTTCCGGGTCCTGGTAGGGTTTGAGATTTCTGCTGTAATATTAGATGATTTCATTGCTCATTTTTTCCTAGCCTGCTCTTTCTTCAGTGAGAATTTTTTTCTTGCATCTCCTTGTTTCTTTTCCAGATTTATTAATTAATACTGTTGCTTCTGGCAATGACACATTGCCTGACTGCCCTATATACCAACTCATCAACGCTGTGACTGCCCAGACCAAAACTCCCTTCCCTGGCCTCCACTCACCTGTAGAGTATCTGCGATATCCTCCTGTTAGAATGTAAACTCCGTAAGGGCAGTGTCTGTCTTTCTTTTTTATTTGTGCTTAGAATAGTGCCTAGCACAAAGATAAGGGCTTAATAAAAACATTTTTCATTCATTCATTCATTTATTAGAGGAAGGATTCTTAACCTGGGGTCCATGAACTTGTTCTATAAATATTTTGATAGCCTCATTTCAATATAGTTGTCCCCCTCAAAATCCCATGTATTTTATTTAATGCATTTAAAAAAAAGAGAAGGGGTCCATGCATTTCATCAGACTGTCAGAAGACTTCCTGGCATAAAAAAAAGGTTAAGATCCCCTGCCTTAGCTCGTGCCTCTGTAATAAATTGCTCTATCATTAGCAATAATAATAATAATAACATTGATCCATAAAAGCTAAGAACAATATTTTAAATAGCTGACATTTGAATATTTATAATCACAAAGCTGTGTGGAATAAAGAGATTTCAAAATAGAGAAACCTAACAGAAGAATGGGCACAGAATAAGGTACGTCTCATCCCCATCATCCTGTCTGTTACTGGAGTTGTTCCAAAAATGCTTACCAAAGATGATCTCATATTCTCATACTTCATTTAACTATAAAAAGGAGTTATTCTATCCACTCTGCAGTAGTCCGAAGAACATTATATATATATATATACATATACATATATATATGTATATATATATATGTATATATATGTATATATATATACATATATATATACATATACATATATATGTATATATATATATGTATATATATATACATATATATATGTATATATATATACACACACACACACACACACACACACACACACACACACACACACACACACATAACATTGGATAAGTAGAAAAAATGAGAAGAGGTGAATTCTGGATGAGAATAAGACTCTTTTGGGTAGAATCTTGTTTTGAGCAGGTCAGTGCCATTTGGTTTTATTAAGTCCTACTGATATATTTCAATGGTATATTGAGCACAGGGCAGATTTCTATTTCCCTTGCCCAGATTGCAGGGTGCTGCCAACAAGGAATGAAAGGAGGCTTCTTATTTCCTCCTCCCCCTATTTTTAAGTAAACCTCAAGGCAAAGGCAAAGATTTAGACCTGGAAGGAGCACAGGAGGTGATCTAGTCCAACCTTGTCATTTTGCCGATGAAGAAATGGAGGCTCAGAGAGCCCACGTGACTTGCAGAAGGATGTCCAGTTAGCAAGAGGAAGAACCTGGAGTTGAACCCAGGACCCCAACTTCCAATGCAGTATCCTTTTGTATGTACTGCAGTGTCTCCTGGGATTATGTTTGGGCTGTAGCAGGTACATTCAAGGGGTCTGGAACATCTTCTTTCTTTAAGGATCATCCCAGTCCTTCCTCATCCATGAAAGCTTCCCTGGCTTTTTCTGCACCATCCCAGCCCCCTTCCCTCCAGCTGTCTGCTCAATTGTTTCTTGTTCTGTATCCGACAATGTAGATCCAAAATGGCCCTAGATGGTAGAACTAGGAGCACTTGGAGGAATCTGCAAAGAAACCAATTTAAGCTTGATGTCAAAAAGAACTTCTTAACTATTCCCAGAGTAGAATGGATTGTACTGAAAGGGGGAGAATGCGGTCTCCCTTATTGGAGACCCCTCTCTCTCTCTCTTTCTCTCTTTCTTTCTCTTTCTGTCTATAATCTATATCCATATCTGTGTCTATGTATATATCTGTATCTGTATCTCTCTCTCTATATATATATATAGATATACACACATATGTATACATTTATATATGTCTATACATCTATAGATATAAGTTGGGAATAACGTCAGAGGGAAAGCAATAAGATTAAGGCAGATCGGGGAAAGGCATCTTGCAGAAGGTGGGAGTTTAGCTGAGACACAAAAGATGCCCGAAAGCAGGGATGAGAACGTTGAGAGATCTAAGCCTGGAGGACTGCCAGTGGAAGCACTTGGAGTCAGGAAATCGAGTGTTGTTTGTAAGGCACTGTCAGAAGGCCAGGGTCACAGGATGGAAGAGTACACAGATATAAGAAGCCTAGAACAAGAGCCCTGTGAAGGAGGCTTCTTGTCAGAAACCTGAGAAGGGGGTGGGGGAAGTTGAAGCACCGGAGAGGGAGTTCATGGAATCTTTCTCTGTCACTAAATGCCACCTTTGGCACTAGTATGACCTTATTTCACCTTGTGCAGGAACATGGTGCCCATCCTCCCTTGACCCCCTCCCTTGCCAGTTCACACACCTAAAAGTTAATAGGAAGCAAGGATTCTGGGTAATGTCTTCACAAGCATGAAGTTGACTTACTTTTTTCTTTTTTCAGAGTTTTTATCTTTTATAAGGTTGTCATTAGCTGGTGAATGGAATATTTGCTACACAATCTGTAGGTTGTATCAGTGACAAGAGGAATCTTCTCTGTAATAAAAAAGTTGAAATCCTAATATACCATTTAAAGGCATTGTCTTTTTCACAAGACAATCCCCCCCCCCCTTCCATCACCTTGGAATAAAGGCAAGTGGAAGCACATTCATTCAGCAGACATTCCTGTATACCAAAGTGTTTTCTCTATGTATTGAGTGTTTATTATTGAAAATCATAGTGCCAGGTTCTAGGGGAGGAATGGAGATAAAAAAAAAGTCAGAGTCCCAGTGTCTGTGGAGCCAATGATCACCTTGATGAGAATATTATTCTTCAAGAGGTAGAGTGGGAAGAAGAGAACCACTATTTTTCCAGTTCTGGTTCAATTCAATTCAGTTGGATTTCACAAACGTTTATTAAGCAATGGGGAAGCCTAGAGAGAGAAACCCTGTATCTTCCCTCTCCTGGCATGAGCTACTCCATCATTGAGCTAGGCTCCATTTCAGGGTAAAATGAACTGTCACAGCTACTCCTCTGGGTTAATGTTCCTGCCCCTCCCCAGGTACCTACTATTCTAGGCATAGAACAAAACAAAATTGCCTTGCTCTCCCCTGCTGAGACCAATGACAGATTGGTGCATCTCTGCCCCACTTCCAAGGTCAGCTGCCTACCGAGACTTGATTGCCCTCTCTGTGTGTGTGTGTGTGTGTGTGTGTGTGTATGTGTGTATGTGTGCACATCCACATGTGCATGCACAGAACAATTCTATAAAGTTTGGATTCAGTCAAAGGGCCACACTTGAGGACCTAGAGGGCTACATGTGGCCTTGAGGCCACAGGTTTCCCACCCCTGTCGAGTATACAAGAAAAAAAAAATGAACTAGTCTCTGCCTTTGAGAAGCCTCAGTTTCCATAACCCTCCACTGCATTGGGGAAAACAATGTATACAAGCTATATGCAAAGCAATAAAAATTAACTTCAAGAGGGAAAGAGTGTTGATGACTTGAATGATTGGGAAAGGTCATCCCGAAGGTGGCACTTGAATTATGCTTGGGCGGAAGGAAGCTAGAATTCCCATGAGGCAGAGGGGATGAGATAGTGCATTACAAATGAGGGGATAGTTATGCCAAAGTACAGTAATTGGAGAAGGCATTTGTATATGACCAGCTACCAGGGTAGTTTGACTAAATCTCTGACGTACCAGGATGGGCTTGCTACTGGAGAAGGAATGATTAGAACCTTGCGAATTCTAAATGACTGATGTTTCAGTCTGCAAAATTCCTTCTAATCATCATTCCCCTATATGCATTGTCTCTGGCTCTTAGAATGTAAGCCTCTTAAGGATTATGTTTCATATTTGTATCCCTGGGATCCAGCACAGAGTCTGACACATAATAAGTGTGTAGTAAATGCTTATTTATTCATTTGTTAATGAATTATTGAAGACATGTCTCCATTAATAATAATGTTAATAATAATGGATTTTTGGCATCTTGTGTTGGGATCCAGTGATGCACGGAATGGCAGAGGCAGGAAAGCTTGGGACACACTTTAATGCAATGGAAGGTGGTCCAATTTGGCAGGAGCACAAGGCATATATGAAGGGGCAGTTATATGATGTCGGCCTGGAAGGATAAGGTTGTACCTCCCATTATAAACACACAGTTTGGCCTGAGGCAGGGAATCGAAAAGGATGGAACATGCCCCCAAATTCAGATGAGGGCAATTACATAATTTTGCAACATCTGTGGTTTTGTATGGCTCCCAGAGCTGGTGGACATGGGGAGAATTAAACACCCTGAGATAATATGTCATCTGAATGCCCCATTTAATCAGCGATGGATCTCCTTTTCACGAAGCCCTAAAACCAGGCTGTTAGTTTCCCTCTGAGTCCAGGCCACCAGAGGAAATCCCGTGATTTAGTTTTTGATCGATGTGGCCGGTCTCCTTATTGAACTTGACGGTAATTCTTTGGCTTGGGAAGGCAAAACGAGGCCATTTGTTACATTTTTGACACTTTGCTGATGCTCGGTTTTAAATTGTGCTTTAACGCATTTTTTTTTTTCCTCCCAGAGTAAACACCTCCTTCTACGAGGTTTTGCAGATGGACTTTGAAATCGACAACAGCAGCGGGCTGGCGGGGGCTCAGCAAGTTACCTGGCAGATCGAGTACCCTGACAAAGACTCAGCAGGTGAGCTGGTGGTCTCAGAGATCTTCATCAGCCAGACAACGTTCGTCGGCATCGTTCCGCTGGCAATGGTAAGAAATAGCTTCTCGGAACAAAAACGTTTTCTTTGCGTCCTTTTAGTATTCCAGCGCACATGAAACATTCGGTAATTCGCCACTTCCCATGCACCTGCTGCAAGTTGTTTAAACAGGAAAAATACATTTCAATAACATTTTATTTACCCAATATACCATAACAGCTCCTTGGAAACCATTAGAGTCTATTGTGTGAATCCTTTTTAGTTTGTGGATTACTGGCCTGATATGCTGAAATGGTTCCTCTGGAGCACTTGTTTTCTATTGCTATCATCTGATTGCCATGCGTGTTCACTAGGGCTAAGTGTTACAATTAGTTAAGGAGTTCTTATTGAAGTTATGTTAGAGCTGGGAATCTTGGAATAAAACTGTCCCTGAAGAAGCAAGGTGAGGGTTGACCCAGAGGTCAGTAGAGAGATGCCTGGTGAATACAAGGAGGCTGAACTGCATTTCCTACGGTAACCAGTTCACTTTCCCTAGTCAATAAACTTCAGTGGCTCCCTATTACCTCCAGGATTAAATATCGGATCTTCTGTTTGGCTTTTAAAGCTCTTCAAATCTTTGTAACTTTCAAATTTTATTATACTTTTGTTGTTCAGTCATTTCAATCATGTCCAGCTCTTCATGACCCCATTTGGGGTTTTCTTGGCAAAGATATTGGAGTGGTTTTGCCATTTCCTTCTCCAGCTCCTTTTACAAATGAGGAAACTGAGGCAAAGAGGGTGAAGTGACTTGCCCAGGGTCACACAACTAGTAAATGTCTGAGACCAGATGTGAACTCTGGTCTTTCCGACTCCAAGTCTGATGCGCATGGCTTAGCTGCCCTTATTATACTTTATATTCTCTACTATACTTTACTTCATATTCTCCCATTCATATTCTCTACTGGCCTTCCTGTCCTCTCACGTGACAAGAACACCCTGTCTTCTGACTGAGCTTTTCCCTGACTGTCCCCGTACCTGGCATGTTCTCTCTCCCTACCTTCTCCTTCTGACTTCCCTGGTTTCCTTAAGGCTCTACTCAATTATTTTGTATGTATAATTGATATTATATTACTTGCCTTTGCAGTAGATGGGGGAGAGGCAGAAAGAAGGGAGAGAATTTGGGACTCAAAATTAAAAAAAAAGGATGTTAAAAAAATAATAAATTGGGGGAAAAAGAATAATCAAATCTCATTTACTGCAAAAGATCTTTCCCAGGCCTTTCTGCCTCCCTCTCCTACTGCTAGTCCATTACCTCTGAGATTATATCCCATTTACACTTGTGTATATCTTATATAATAATAGCATTTTTAAAACTCTTTAATATTTGCAAAGTGCTTTACAAGTAGTGTCTCATTTAATCCTCACGAAACCCTGGAAATGTAGGTGCTATTATTATTATCCCCATTTTACAGTTGAGGAAACTGAGGCAGACAGAGGTTAAATGGCTTGCCTAGGGTCACACAGCTAGGAAGTGTCTAGTAAGTGACTTCTTGACTCTAAATCCAGTGCCCACTACCTCTCCGGGTGAAGTAACAGAGTGAATAATGAGTCAAGATGGGATTCCATCCCAGGACTCTGGTCTCCATCCATTGTGCTATCTAGGCTGCTTAACTTGTGTGTAAGTAATCATTTATATATTGTTTTTCTCATCTGAATGTAAGCTTCTTGAAGGCAAGAACCCTGTTTTTACCTTTCCTTGCATCAATCAGAACATAGTTCCTGACACATAGTATGTGCTTAATAAACGCTTCTTGAACTGTGAATGACTTGGCTATTCTCAGCATTGCAATGATCCAAGACAATCCCAAAGGACTCATGATGAAAAATGTTATCTGTCTCCAGAGAAAGAATTGATGTTGTCTGAATACAAACTGAAGAATACTTCCTTCCTTCCTTCCTTCCTTCCTTCCTTCCTTCCTTCCTTCCTTCCTTCCTTCCTTCCTTCCTTCCTTCCTTCCTCCCTCCCTCCTCCTTCTTCCTTCCTTCCTTCTTCCTTCCTTTCTTTTTTTCTTTCTTTCTTTCTTTCTTTCTTTCTTTCTTTCTTTCTTTCTTTCTTTCTTTCTTTCTTTCTTTCTTTCTTTCTTTCTTTCTTTCTTTCTTTCTTTCTTTCTTTCTTTCTTCCTTCCTTCCTTCCTTCCTTCCTTCCTTCCTTCCTTCCTTCCTTCCTTCCTTCCTTCCTTTCCTTCTTTCTTTCTTTCTTTCTTTCTTCTTCTTTCTTTCTTTCTTTCTTTCTTTCTTTCTTTCTTTCTTTCTTTCTTTCTTTCTTTCTTTCTTTCTTTCTTCTTACACAAAATGACTAATATGGAAATGTTTTATATGATTGCACATGTATAATCTATATCAGATTACTTACCATCTCAGGGAGGGGGAAGGAGAGAGTGGGAGGGATAGAATTTCAAATTCAAAACTTAAAAAAAATTAATTGAAATTGTAATTGGGGATTTGGCGAATTGGGGAAAATCAAATATTATTAAAAATAAAAACCATGATATAATCTCTGTGCAATTGAAAAATGTAATTGGGAAATGTTTAACAATATTTTATAAAATGCAACATAACAAATTCTTCTTGAGAGTGATGATTATGATGGAAGAGGTGGAGTAGGGGAGATAACCTGGGAAATGTAGGATGAGAGAAGGAGGTGTTCTCATCATATAGTAAGGGTGAAGTGAGGGAAGCAACCTGAGGGCTTCTCTTGGGCAGATTCTTGGTTGAAGACATAGGGGTGAACATGGATTCCCAGATGAATGTAGACAGAAAGGTTTTATAGGAGAACTGAGGCATGGATTCTTCAGGATAAGAAGGTGTCCATAGATCACAGGATCCTAGCACTAAGCTGGAAGAGAACTCAAGGGGTCAACTCTCTCATTTTCTAGGCGGTTAGGTGGCAGGAGGTCTCTAGGGGGCGTAGTGGAGAGAGAACTGGGCCTGGAGTCAAAAAGACCTGAGTTCAAGTTTGACCTCAGATGTTTACTAGCTGTTTGACCCTGGGCAAGATGCTTCACCTACGTCTGCCTCAGTTTCCTCAATTGTGAAATGGGGTTAATAAGAGCACATACCTTGTAGGGTCGTTGTGAGGGTCAGATGAGATGACATCTGTAAAGTGCTTAACACAGTGCCTCGCACATAGTAGGTGCTTAATACATGCTTCTCTTTCCCTCCTCAAACCCTTGCAGGTGAGGAGCCTGTCTTGGGGAGGCCAGATAACTTAGAGCTGGAAGGGCCCTCAGAGGCCGCCTGGTGCAGCCCCCTCGTTTCACGGCAGACGGAGGGGAGCCCCCACATAGCGGCCATGTAGTTCAGTGACTCTGTTCCTCTACGGGGCATCTCTCGGGGTCGGGAAGTTCTTCCTGACATCAAGCCCAAACTGGCTTTGTGCTATCTTCTACCCATTGCTTCTGAGGCCCCGCAGAACTAATTGAAGCCCTCTTTGGCATGACTGCTTTCCCCACCCTTGGAGAAGGCCATCCTGCTTCTCTTCAGTCCTCTGTTCTTCAGGGTGAGCATCTCTGGCTCCTTCAAACAATCCTCATTTATTCCAATGGTCCTCAGCTTAAGTGCACCCTCCCACCTCTGCATGCCATTTCTCCTGATTTCTCCCGGTGGCCAGTGCCTCCCCCGATCCTTCCTCCAGTTGTCCTGTGTGTATATTTTGTTTACTTCTCTGTTTATGTGCCATTTGCCTGAGTAGAATGTAAGCTCCTTGAGGGCAGGGACTGCTTGCTTTTGTCTCTGTATTCCAAAAGCCTACTATAGCACCTGGCATATAACAAGCTCTTTTCAAATGTTTGTTGTCAGGTTGATAGACATGGCATGAAGTTGCAGCCCTTCACCACTGTGATTCCCCTCCTCTGGGTTTTGTCTATATTTTCAATGGGAATTTTTTAATTTTTTATTTTGGCTAGGCAATGGACTTAAGTGACTTGCCCAGGATCACACAGCTAGTAAGTGATATGTGTCTGAGGCCAGATTTGAACTCAGGTCCTCCTGACTCCAGGGCCAGTGCTGTGTCCACTGTGCCACCTAGCTGCCCAGAGAATTTTAATTCAAAGAGAATTTCAATGCCCTTCTGAAAGGGAAACTTTTAAAGTGGAACCCAGTATTCCAGATGTGATCTGCTTAGGGCTAGGGACAGTAGGATTTTCACTTGCTTATTCCTGGAAACTACACCTTTCTCAAAGCAGCTTAAGATTGTATTCTCTTTTTTTGGCTGCTGTAATGCACGGTAGACTCTGATTGAGCTACTAGTCCACTTTGGCCCCCAGATCTTTTTCAGCCAAACTCCTATGTAACCATGCCTCCCCCACCTTGGGATACGGTGTCAGTTTTTGACACCCATTACTTCTGTCCTTATTAAATTTGATCTAAGATGATGTCATCCTTTTTTTTGGTCTTTATATCAGTTTTAATTATTTAGTGATTCTCAGGCATACAACTTGATTATAACTCAAAGAGCAAGGGACGGCGGGTCCATGGGGAGTGTGAGCAAGCTGGAGCACATAGCAAATAAGGAACTATGAAGAATTGGAGTTAAGTGTGTACTCAAGGAAATGGATGACTGAAAAGGAAGATGGGGTTGGCTGTGTAACCAGAGTATAGGGCAGCGGTGCAGAGAGTGAAGCCTTTATCATTTCAGTTGGGTCCCTTCTAACAAATATGTGGGAAGATATGGACAAGGGTCATGCTGGATGGCTCAGCATGACCCACAGATATGTGAAATTCTGCATGGATGCACATGGGTACATGTGTATGTGTGTGTGTACGTATATTTGTATGTTCCCATTCAATGTAATGCAGACAATGCAGTGCAGTAGAAAGAACCCTGGCTCCAAAGTCAGAGGCTCTGAGTTCAAATCCTCCCCCTGTCACTCACTACCTATACGACCTTGAACAAGCAAGTTACTCATTCTCCCCAGGCCTCAGTTTTCTTATCTGTAAAATGAAATGAAAGAACTAGATAGCCCTCCAAAGTCCCTCCCAGCCCTTGATCAATAATTCCTGTACGCAGGGGCA